AGCTGTTGGAACTCCACCGCTTCCTATAAAAGGTTATATCTAGTTTTAACCAGTCTTTCTGCTGTATAAAGTGTGGGACCTGTTTTGCTGAGGTGTGTCAAAGTGGTCACTTGGTCACTTCCAAGGGATTTGGGAACAGGATCCTAAACCATTCAGTTCCTGGTGGCCACAGGCTGTACTTGTTTGTCTCACTGATCTCACTGGAACCAAGTTAAACATACGAATTTCAGATTAAATGTTTGTCTGAAAGATCTTTGTGCACACAGTCACAACTGGATCTGAAGGACTGTCTCTAGTTATTGGACCAAGGCATATTTAAGAAAAAACTATGAAAAGTAAGCCCATGCTGGATAATGGATGCCAGATAAGAAAACCTGTCTACTCACTGTAATTTAGGATTCCTATTTTCAGAATTGCCACAACACGCAGACTTTTAGATTATAATTAAGCTTCCTATTGCATAGTAGGGGCAAAATCTTGGAAGTAGAACCCCCATGAGAATACCTTTCAGTCTTATTACCTGCCTACCTAAACCTCAGGCTGGGTTTTTATGTCCCAGCTCCCTCTATCTCCATCTTTATCATCTAATCAGTGAAAAGATGTGTGGAAATTTTACTTCATAGCAGGAAACAACGGGCAACAACCAAGTTTTCTGCCTTTTGCATGTAACACTTGGGGAATCTGTATTGTGAGAATGTTTCAACAGACAAGTCACCATAAATTGTATTCCTACTGCAGCAAAAGCTGATTGTGAACAGAAGTAAATTACAACGAAACCTTATTTCAGCAGAACTCCCCAAAAATCAATTACATTTTTTCCCATTGACTTTCCAGCCCATGCAATAAAAGACTTAACCCCATGCTTAATATCTCAAGTAACATTTAATCTTGTGCATGGTGTATGACTGGATACAGTCTTCAGAGAAAGAGGCCCTTAGCAGAACTGAGAACACAACTAGTACCAATATTTTGTTTCTCCAATTTCATGAAGCTGTTTATATCTGATTCAGGTTTTCTTTATCAGTATGTAATTGCAATTTTAAATTTTATTAATTGTAGCAATTTTGAAAATATACTTTTAAAAATTTGCATAATTTCAACCAAGACAATCCTGAAATGACCTCCCTGTGTGCACTTCCAAATGGGGATAACATGAGATGCATATTTATTTTAAATGCCAAGTGTTTTTATTTTGGGCAAACATTTCTCTCAGCATTTTGAAATATGTAGCACAAAGATACTACTACAGAGTGATGAAAAGTTAAAAATGTGCCCACAAATTGGGCTGGAATCCGTAGAAAAGTAACCAAATCCTCCCACCTTAAAATTAAATTGTTACAGATTTTAAAATGTTTCATAAATTGTTTTACTCTCATGTAGTTTCCAAATTACAATTTTGGCTTCAGTTTTATTTAGATTTAAGCTGTCAATAAGGTGTTTGACTCACATATTTTTATAATTCCCTATAGGCCCACGAGGAGATCCCGGATTTCCCGGTCCTGTTGGTGATATGGGATCAGCTGGACCAATGGGTCCTGCAGGCCTGCTAGGAAGACCAGGGCTTGATGGAACAAGTAAGAGAAGTAGGGGATAAAATATGAACTATATAGCACTAGTAGAAAAAGCAACTAAAATAAAACTACTTTGTTCTTGCATGACGAAAACCACCAACAGTAAGGATTTGAACTCTACAGATTGTTCATTAAAAATATTAACTGGGCACTTAAGTGGCCAAAGAAAAGAATGAAAATTATCCAAGCAGAACATTAGGAGATACTAGAAAAGGAACAAAAGGCTAAGGAGAATATTACCATGCACTGTAAACCCACGGTATGCCTTTATCTGGAGTGCTGTGCTCAAAAATTCTGTTCTTCATCTCAAAAAGATATAAAGGGAAGTGATCAGGATGAGTTTGCTCTATATAAGGAATGAGAATAACTGGGATATCTGGAAAAGAGATAATAGGGGAGGAGGAAAAGAAGCATTTTAAGGTCTAAAGCAGAAGTCTCCTTTCCTGGGGATCCTGGAAAACCTGAAGATTTAGATTTAAGTCTTTGTTATATAGAAGCTCTCTTTCAGGGCAGTTCTGCATGGTCTGTGTTTCCTCCTTGATATCTCACAGTAATCACTATGAGGCTGTATGGGCTTTACACCTTTCTTTTTTTATAGGTCTGCCTGGCCTGCCAGGGGTAAGTGGGGCACCAGGACCTCAAGGTTTTCAAGGTGACCCTGGTTTGCCTGGAACAGGTGAATTAATCCCAGGAAGACCTGGATTTCCTGGACCACCAGGCCTACCAGGACAGCCAGGAAGACAAGGCTTACCTGGACTACCCAGTAGGTTCAACAGCAATTTATGTATTAAGAATATAATTCTGCAGGTTAATAGATCCATTGCTTTTGTTGGTCCTACAAAAAACATAGAGATGAAAAGTTCATTTTGGCAGATATATCAGACTTTACATGGGATGTTGAAAACATGTTTTCATGTTAGCTGTTGATGAGTGAGATTTCAAGATTTTTATCGTTTTCTGGGTGATTTAAGCCCACAAAAGTAAGATGTATAAAATAAAATCTCTAAAAATATGTCACCTGAAGTTAAAAATACAGCAAACTGAGGAGGAAACCCAAATCAGCATCTTTTAGAAGAGAAAAAGTAAAGTTTTAAGTGGAAAAAAGTAGTAATGGCAATGATGTGTCAACATCGACTCAAGTCATACTGATTCTTGTAGTATAATCTGTAAGCAACAACTTGTAAAGCATTTAATAAGGTCTCTAACCTTTCACACAAGTATAACAAGATAAGGGAGAGGAGAATACATGACCTAAGCTGTGGAAACACTCAACCTGATTTATACTTGCTGTACAATTTGTTTTTTCAAAGGTGTGATCTGTACTGACAGAGGTATCCCTGGAGAACCTGGAGCAAAAGGTCAGATAGGCCTTCCAGGAAGAAAAGGTGCAAAAGGAGAAAAGGGTAAGCATGCCTGGATAAAAACCATTTGAATATGAGACCTTTGCCAGTTATGTCAGATTTAAATGTGCAAGAAGTTTATGGTAACTTGGTGGATAAGGCCCATCAAAGTGCAGAGTTAAATGGCCAGTTGGCACTGGGGCTTTTAAGTCAGTAGATGATGTCAGTGCAGCAGTTACTTAGTGCTGATAAAGCTTCACCTCTTTGAAGGGAGTCAAATGAGATAAAATGGTCCAGGCACTACTCACACAGAAAAGAGAAAGGGCAGCATTATTTTTTTGTGTATTAATTCTGCAACTTTTTCACTGTAATTTTGACACATTCATATAGGAATTCAAGGCCTCTGCTCGTGTCGTGCTGGTCCTCCTGGTCCCCGTGGTGTGCAAGGACCTCCAGGTGTTCAAGGAAAGAAAGGACAAATGGGATACCCTGGAAGATACGGAGAAAAGGGCGACCCAGGCTTATCTGGTGCAATGGGATCACCAGGGCTCCCTGTGAGTAGTTTTCGTGAATTTTGGTAAATAAATAACATGAAGTTACCTCTCAGCTCAGGAGGCATTTAAGCAGAGTAGTGGAGAAAGTGCCCTGGAAAACTATCTGAAACTTCCATCTACTTTTGCTTGTTACAGTCTAATGAAATGAGCTATTACTTTTGGAAACAGAATTATTTTCTTTAATGTGCTTCATATAGTTTATCTCATTCCCCACAGTGAGCAATAATTCAAAGCACCACTTAACCTAACTGCTTTAGAAACACTTTATAAGATAAATTATTGGACTTGATGTGATTTTGATCCACTTTTTCTGGTCTGACATGCAAAATGTACATCCAGAATGCTGCATACCAAAATAATGCCAAAGAGAGGTTTTTTTAATATATTTTCTTGTGTGTGAGAGGAATTTCTTTGAAAATACAGGCAGATATGCCTTGCTTTATGACTGTTGCATTATGGTTGGGGTTTTTTTGTTTGTTTGTTTAGTGGTTTTTTTGTTTTGTTTTGAGGAGGTGTTTTGGCGGTTTTTGTGCTGTTTGGGTTTTTTGTGTTTTGTTTGTTTGCTGTTTTTTTGTTATTGTTGGGGTTTTTTGAGGTTTCAATAGCAGAACTGTTTTTGCACATGAGGAATTGCTTAAAAGTTTCCAGAACATTTTTTTTCAAAAGAATAAAAAAAAAGCAAACAAAACCATTGTGAGTCTGAAGGAAGGATGTGGAAGGGCTCTCTCATTCTAGTGCCAATGGTTTCATTACAAGCTTTACATTTGCTCTTGTGGGTTTTTTGTTTGTTTTCTTCTTAAAACACTATTACCTGTGTGGATTATGTGAGATTTTGATCTTCTTGTTACTTCTGAGAGTATGATTTAGTCCCTTTGGTTTTGAAGCAAAGCTTGAAGCCTTGTCCTGAATATTTTCTGTTCTTAGGTTACTTAAGCGAGAAACAAGAACAAAATAATCATTTTGGATGGAAATAATTCACTTTGATACAGAAATGTTTGGTTTAATGGACCATTTTTCTCCATTTTTCTGCTCTCCTTTCTTCACAAATATCTCATTTTTCCTTTCAAACACTACTTACTGATCTCTGCCTACATAAAGATCTAAACATTGTAAGAAATAGCCACTGCTAGTTTCAGATACATGTTTTTCAAAAGTCTATCTGATTTAAAAGTGTCATGATTTACAATCACATTATATTCTTTCCACCTATTTTTAAGTGAAAAAATTTGAATAACAGAGGAAGCTGGCTAAATAATACCCCAGTTTTGTACCTTAGTGGCCTTTTACTTCTGTTTAAATTTTCTGCAGTAAAATATATTTACCCACATGCACTGTTGCAAGATCACCAATGATTACATGAAAACTGCACTCTGCTTGGAGAGCTGAGAGCACAAATCAGCATAAGAATATAGAAAAGCACTTCTTTTCTCCTCTAAACCTGTCAAGTCATAGATTCTTCTCACAACACCTACCTAACTAGATGTAGATGAAATTTCTTATTGGCAGCTTTGTGGGTTTTCATTCAGAAAAAAAGCATCACTTACTTGCTGCTGTGTTCAGTTCCGGGAGGAAAGCCCCATCCTGCAGTCACCACACTCCAGAGATTCCCTTCCTCAGTGGATTGTGGGTTGAAGTCTGCAGTGGGAACAGTTAGTGAATCATTTGAATTTTAATATTGCATTTACAGCCGTGGACCCAAATCTTCCAGCTTTACAAATTATTTTAGTTGTGTATCCATACATTTGGCAGAATCAGGCTGAGAAGGCCAGGTACCATTCACACACCTCTTTATAATCATCAGAAGAGATAAGTGTTTCTTTTTGGCATGTCACCTTAACTGGTTGGTTTTGGGAAACCATGCAAGAGATAGATATCTAATTTTCCCCTCAATTCCCACATTGATTCTGTGCTGGAGACAACTGACACCTTTTTTTTTCCTTGTAAATGTTAAGGGGACCCCTGGTTCTGCTGGACAGCATGGTGAAAAAGGAGAGAAGGGTGATCCAGGAAGAGTTAGGATAAAAGGTAACCACACATTTTATCTTTAGTCTGTTTGTTTCCTATACAATGTCTAGGCAATAGTGTGAGAAAAACATATTCATCTGCTCTTTAATAAATTCATTAGTTCAGTAAGTTACTGAAACCTAGAGGGCATGTATGTCCAAACTGCTTTCTTGGTACCATCTCTTCTTGCTAAACAGAAGATCAACACAGCATTTTGTGGTTTTTATTCTATAGTTGAGCCATAAAACAGTTTTAACAGCGTGTTATTAATGCTAACAAATGATTTTTCATGTCCTGTGATTGATAGTTGGGGTCTTACAGAGGTTTGTATAGCAAAGACTCAGCAGAATACAAATACTATTGTACAGAACCACCTCCTGAAGTGTCATATATCAATAACACAGCTGTTACCTCAACTTAAGCCACCAACATCCTTCTTGGGAAAAACTCAAAGTTTCAATGACTATTCAGATTCCTGCTCCTATTTCTAAAAATTACTCTTGACCAGGCATTGAAGAGAAACAATAGGCCACTAGTTGCACAACTGAAATTCTTGTAATTAAATAGATCAAAACCTCTCCACAGTTATGGTTATGATTTGCAAAAGCAAAAGAAACAGAGAGCAATAAATTACAGCAATCTGAAGGCAAAGCCTAGTTAGAAATGCTAAACTAATTATTCAAACAAAAGATTGTCCATCTTATTGTTTATAAAAAGTTAGCTTAGCTTTGGATGCCTGTGGGTTTTTTACAGATGTTGGAGAGGGGAAAACATTTTCTTCTATTTGCAAAGGATTTCTTGACACAGCAAAAGTTACATTTTCATAAATATCAGTGCAAGAGAAATCTAGGGGGAAAATAAAACCTTTGGGAAATATTGATGCAAATATTCTGCATCATATGACATTGCTACAACCTGATTTCACTGAAATTAAGAATAAACCAGACTGATTTCAATATTTTAACTCTCCATATAGCACAAATAAAAGCCACATTCTTGTGGTGCCTCTAAACATGTCTTTTACAGAGAGACCAAGTTGTTCCATGAGGTGTCCAACTAAAGCCTTCCTAAGCCTAAAATACTTCACCAAGGAAATGTGAATTCAAGGACTGGGAATTACCATGCAGATATGATGAATGGTTTTTCAGCATTTACCTAAGAAGAAATAACCTCCACCTCCCCCTCAAAAAAATAATTACTGTAAATATTATACTTCTTTTTCTTTTCAAAATATTTTAAGGATTAAAAGGTGAAAGAGGACCTACTGGGGTTCCAGGATTTCCAGGCCAGAGAGGTCTTGATGGCAGAGACGGGGAACTAGGATTGCCTGGGGAAAAAGGAGTTGAGGTATGTTTGACTCTCTCAGATTTTTTTTCCATTTCAATTAATGTATTATTTTATGAAAGGTTATGAAAGTTTTTATCCACTGAAAAATTATTTTCTTGTAAATATCATTGCTTGTTTTGGTATTCCTGGATATAATTTCTGCATATACTGTGTCCCAATATTATGGGATCAGGAAACAAAAAATCCACTAACCCCTTTGTTCCTATTGCCCTTAAATATTTAAAAATACTAATGTCATCCATGTAGTCTCTTAATTCTGGAAAGTGATTTCTCCAGATGATCCCCTAAACATGCTTTTTCATAATCAAAGAGAGGAGAGCTCTTGTTACTTCTTACCAACAAGTTTTCTTTCAGGGCGATGCTGGAGTATCGCTTCCCGGTGATAAAGGATTCCCTGGGCTCCCAGGACCTCCTGGGGTAAAAGGACAGATGGGATTGCCTGGTTTGGGGTTTCCTGGCCCTCCAGGAGCCAGAGGTAGCCCTGGAGACTTTGGTGATACTGGTAATGTTGGGCCACCTGGTCCAAAAGGCCAGAAAGGTAATTTTGACTGTTTACATTAAGAATGAAATAACAAAAATACACGTTTGGTGGCATCCATTACAGTTTCATATGTAATACATAAAGTGTTATTCATTTATAGTGAAGATGTTCTTAATTTATAGGAAAATATAACTTATATTTAAGGCTTGGTCTGGTTTTTGGTTATAAAAAGTGCTTAGCCAAAAAAAAAACATCTACAATGATAGTGATATGTATGAACCAGAACTATGCATAGAATTGAAATGAAAATATTATTTCTTTCTTGCACTAAAAACTATTGTAAAGACAAATTTCCAAGACAAGTGAAATAAAACTAAACCTTTGTCTTTAAAAAATACAACTGTATTACAACAATTTGAAATATAACCAATATTATATAGAAAGTGTCAAGAAAAATATATTTTAAGATTCTCCATCAAAACTTAAATAATATGGAAATAACAATGTGCATAATTTCACATTTGCACATCTAGTTGGTTAGTTCCACAGAAATATTACAGTAAGTGTTCAGACTCCATTTATTCTAAAACTAAATAGGCCAGTTTCTTCTCCCTCTTGCTTCAGGTGAAACTGTCTGCATCACATCACCATACCCTGGAAATCCAGGTCCCCCAGGTTTTAAAGGTGTTCAAGGTATGTTTATATATAGGAGAATTTCTGATTTTAATTGAAATTTAAGTTGCTAATTTTAAAAAAGAAGCTATCCTAAAAAGCTACAGTATTCCACTTTTTCAACAGATACATGCCTGAAAATGTAAAACTGCAAATACACAGGAGTATACTCATCTAATAGAATCAAGGGCCAGACAGCTGCAGTTTGCATGATCAAAAGGTGTGCAGGCTGCCTCCATAGAAATAATTAAGTGAAGGTAGTTTCAAACTCTGTCCTGCCTCAATTAAAATGCATGAGAGAGTCTGTAAAATGTGCAGATGGCTGGAGTTAGATAAGACCTGGAGTATGTACATCTGAGTACTGGGAAAAAGAGATGTGCAAGGCAAAAATATGCTGCAAGGCTGTAATTTCTAAAACTATATTGCTCATGGCAAGTTGAAATTGAGCCCTAAAATCTGAAAACTTATTACCATTATTTCAACTTTTTAAACTTAATTTAAATTCAAAGAACTCATCCAGGAACTGGCAAGACGTTTCTTGTGATTGCCTCCAAAGCATTTGAAATTCCTCAGAAAATCCTGATCAGAAGAATTGGAGATAGTGGATTTTCAAGCTCCTTAATATGGTATTACCCAGTTCCCTGACACCAGTATTGTGGGTGGGAGCAAAAATTTGTACAGACATGAAAGAACAGGGATTCGTGTACTGAGCTCATCTGCAGCATTCCAGAAGCAGGATATAGCACAGGAGAGTAGAACTTGAGCTGACACCTGTCATTCACTGGGTTAATACTGTTGATGTCCTGTAACATTAAAATGTTATAGGAAAGATTTTTTTTTTTCTAATTGACTCTGGTGATCTGCAATCTGCTGTTTATGGAGCAGGGAGCACATTTGAGCACTCTGTCAGTTTATGTACTTCTTTTTTATTTTCAGGACCAAAGGGTTTAAAAGGACTCCCTGGGCATCCTGGACCAAATGGCTTTGAAGGGCAAAAAGGCCGTCGAGGCAGGCCAGGAGCAGGAATCCCTGGGCCAGAAGGTGAATTGTGCTTCTCTTAATCCAGGAGACCTGCTGGTCAGATTGTAATATATAAATGCAAGGAAAGATAGCTACCATGGTAGAACACTGTAGCATAGACTATAGAATAAAACACAAACTTCAACAAAAGCTAGTGGAACAGAAATCTTTACCAGTATCCCTTTCTTTATTCCAGCTTTGCAGGTGCTGCAATAACCTAAAGTTCAGTGTCCAGAGAGGAAATATTCTCAGAAAACTGAGAACAATTAGTAAAATTTTAGGAAAGGGAGTAAACTGGACAAGAGTGATAGTAGTCAAGACAGATGCTGCTCCAAAGAAAACCCCTGTCACTTCCCACAGGAATTAGCTCCTTTAATCCTCATGTATCATTAGCTATGAATGAGAAACCTGAAATTTAACGTATGATATTATTTTTCTTTGCAAAGTAATAATTTAAATCTGGTTACATTTGAATTATAATATAACAGCTTGAGGGGAAAAATGAACAAACAGACAAAAAACCAAACACCTCCTGAATTATGCCCTATTTGAATTTAAAAATCCTATCAACAGGCTTTCGAGGCACAGCTGGTGATCCTGGTGATCAAGGTGAAAGAGGATCTACAGTTGATGGTAAAAATGGCCCTCCAGGTCCACCTGGCATAGATGGTCAGAAAGGTCTTCCAGGTGACACCACATATGGCCCTCCGGGAATCCCAGGCAACAGGGGACTGCCAGGACCCCCTGGTGCACAAGGAGCAAGGGGTAATCCAGGCATTCCTGGGCTTCAAGGTATGGGCCAGTTTTTATGAAATAGTTTATGAAACATTTTGTTAAAGGACAAAATCTGAGCAAAGATGGTACTAATTCAGATAAAACGTCCTCTTACCTGGATCCATCATGGTGACTGTGAACAGTACACCCTGATTTTACATTTACATTTTCACAGTTCAGGTTGACCAGCCACTCAGGGGATCTGCACTGCAGGAAGAAAAAGATGCCTTTACCCAGTCCATGGAGTAACAGTGCAGCTTCCTATTCTTACTATTACTTGATGCCTGATGCTCATCTGGGCTTGGGGCTTCCTGCTCTGCCACACAGATAGTCCTTGCTTCAGATTGTTTAGTCAAACCTGAACAGACTGGAAAAGGGCAGGAGAACACTCAGGGACAGAGGGGTGAATTTCTTTGCCCAGAGTTATGCAATAAAGTCCTCTATGTCTTGTGTACTACACTCCTCGCTTCTGCAGGGGAGTTTTGCTGGTTGCTGCAAAGAGATCTCCACAGTGCATTTCCTTCCCACTTTACAGAGGATATTGCTGTTTCCTTTTACAGGTCTTCCTTTTGCCCAGCCCTAAGCATTTCCACACATCCTTCTGTGCAGGGAACACCTGTAGAACTGACCCCAGAGCTGTGTGTCTGGTGCAGGCCAGTGAGCTCCTCCCACTCTGCTCCTACTCATCAGAAGCTATCATCCTTACCTAGAGATGAGGGCTGAATTCATATTTGTTCCTTAAAGAAAGGAGCTTTACACAACAGCCAATTCTAAATTGCAGGAAAGCACCAGTTTGCACAAACTGCAAAAACTAGAGGACAATTAAGACACTACAGTAACTGAACATGTAAATTTCAAAATTAAAATTAGGAATTCTGAGGGATGGTGAGGAGTGGAACTAAAACATTTTATAATGCTGTTTTTTCCCAGGACAACCTGGCACTCCGGGATTTCCAGGTGCCAAGGGTTTTAGAGGCCCAGAAGGTGATGTAGGAGCACCAGGCTGTCCAGGCTTCCCTGGTCCACCATGTGTTGCAGGCTTACCAGGGCCACCAGGACTCAGAGGTGCCATGGGCCTGCCAGGACCTCAAGGTATACCACATCCATGGGGTTGCCTCACAGCACTAAGCTTTGCACATATTTTCTGGCAGATTTCATCACGTGATTTTTGTAGCTGACATGACAAATATTTCCATGGGGCCTGCCCATTTCTGGGGGTGTACATTATGTTTTGCGGGTTTCTTTAAACTCAAGGAATGTAGAGTGTGCATCCCAGATATTTCCCAACTTTCCTTTCTTTCCCATGGTGTTCTTTAACTGGCCAAATCACAGTGTGTTCACTATCAAGTAACAAATGGAAGAGTTAACTCTTATTCTGTTGTCCTCAGTAGCTTAACTGAGCTCCTGACACTACTGTGATACTTTTATCTTCCTTATTCTTAACTGGAATTGTTATTTAGGAAGAGCTAGGAGACATATATCAAATGTATTTACAAGTTAGTAAGGATTTTTCACAGTGCTCTTCTACTGATATGTCTGTCACTAAAGAAATACAAGAAAACAAACATTCCAAGTGATAAATCTAGGCAGGGCCAGGATTCCAACATGGTAATAAAGCTTCCAAGCAATTTTGCCATGTTTGCTGATATTTAAATTTATACCAAAACTTTCTGCTTTTTAGATACAATTGCTGAACCTTTTCCTGCATTTACATACATAGATTAAAGCTCTTTTTCTCAGGTTTACCAGGCTTTAAAGGTCAGAGGGGAGACAGGGGCCTAGCTGGGCCACCTGGAATCAAAGGGCTGAAAGGTTCTCCAGGCTCACAAGGTCCCCCAGGTCCTCCAGGCTCACAAGGACTTCCAGGACTTCCAGGCAATAGAGGACCTGCTGGTTTCCCAGGAGAAACAGGTGTGTCAAACATCCTGCAAACCACCTCATCTATCACATCTCTTGTAGAGGAAACTATTTCTGCTGCTGTTAACACTAGGAAGTACTTTGCACCCTCCTTTCTTTTCAGCTTCAAGAATAAGACCCTGCAGCAGGGTAGAGTCAATTAACCACAGCATCCCTTGTTCTTTCTCTTATGATAAAATCAAAAGGATGGAAATAGTTCAATGCATGTTGGTGCATCCTGGTGCTTTAGCTGTTTTACAGCACTGACCTATTTCCATGTATTATTTCCTGACTGTAATAGGTTGTAATATGCTATAGTAAGAACAATATGTTTAGACATTGGCCCATTTAGGAGACTGGTTAAAAGTGCCTTAGGAGGCAATCCTGAAGGGCAAAGAAGCCCAGGAAGGCTGAATATTCTTCAAGAAGGAAATCTGAAAGACACAGCAACAGGCCATCCCCATGTGCTGAAAGACGAGCAACAGGAAAGATGACCAGCATGGCTGAACAGAGAGCTTTGGCTGGAACTCAGGAAGAAAGGGAGAGTTTATGAAATTTGGAAAAATGGCCAGTCAGCTCAGGAGGATAAGGGTATCATGAGGATACGCAGGGAGAAAATTAGAGGGGCCAAAGGGCAACTAAGACCTCGATCTGGCTACTGCTGTAAAAGACAACGAAAACGTTTCTATAAATACGTTGGCAACAAAAGGAGGGCTAAGGAGAATCTCCATCCTTTATTGGATGGGAGAGGGGAAACATAGTGACAAAGGATGAGGAAAAGGCTGAGGTACTTAATGCCTTCTTTGTCTCATTCTTATGTAAGACCAATAGGTCTCTGGGTACCAGGCCCCTGAGCTGGAAGACAGGGACAGGGAGCAGAATGAAGCCCCCATAATCCAGTAGCCACATGCAAGATCTGCTGGCATGTTGGGATAACAGTTTGGGTAATAAGTGTAGCCTAAATCTCCAGAAGGTGGCAGCAGGTAGGGGGAGAATGTTTGTTTCAAGGGCATCTGGGTTTCAAGAGATGTTTAATCTTGGCATGAAGCCAAGCTCCAAATATTGGTTCTCTACCTTTGCTGATTTCCTAAGGAGTCCTTCTGAACTTCCTGCTTTTGCTTTATACTCTTCCTTAGAATATGACAGCAACAGTATAAGCAGACTGAACATGTAAATAAAGCATTTCATATTACCAGGAAGCAAAGGGATTCAGGGACCCCAAGGATTCCCAGGACTCCCAGGAATACAAGGCACAGTGGGAATCTCCGGAGTAAAAGGCGAAGAAGGAAAAATGGGTCCACCTGGGCCTAGTGGAGAATGTGGGGATATAGGAATAAAAGGTTTGTAAAAATCCACTTCACTCTGTAGTCATGTTGATGCTGTGTTAGGAATATATTTACTTTTTATAGGAAAGAGAATAACCGTCTCCAAGGTGCAATCACAGGCAGTACACAATTGCCATCTTTTGTAATCTTTCATAATTCTGATTTAATATCACCTGGGTTACTACTGAATTAACTAAAAAGCAAGAGAAGTAGGATAAATTTTGTTAGCAGCGAGCCTAGTGTAACAACTGAGAACCACAATTAGTATTTGAAGGCTTTCTCCATTAGTGAAGTCATTACTAAAATTAATTTTCAGGACATGTCATTCATGATATATACTTACATTCCATATTTTTGGCTCAAAGGTGAAAGAGGGTCTCCAGGAGACAGTGGCTACATTAACATCCGTTTAGAGAAAGGACAAATGGGAGACCCAGGGTTTCCTGGTGAGAATGGATTTAGAGGTGAAAGAGGTAAGTTCATAAAATAAAGCCTGGACACACATTCATCTGCAATAAATCGCTGGTTTTCACAGGTAGGGACTCATGGCTGCAGAAACACCCAGCAACCTTATAATGTTTATGGATTCTTAAAGTAGCAGGATAGTTTCTTTGGACAATTACACAATACACAGAGTGTGGCAATACACAGTGTGAAAGCGTTGCCATAATCAAAATAAGTGTCAAATAATGGCTTGACTTTATTGGTCATTATCTTGATCTGCAATTAACTTCAGGTGAAAAAGGCAATACTGGTTTCAGAGGCACCCGAGGATTTCCAGGGAAGAATGGTGTTCCAGGACTGCCAGGTGACCAAGGTGACACTGGAGTGATGGGGTTTCCAGGATCATTGGGTTTCCCAGGACCAAAAGGCTTTAAAGGAATTACAGGTTTTCAAGGAGAACCAGGTGACCAGGTAAACAGAGTGGTAGTGAAATGTCCTGGACTTTGCAGTTGTCTCCTGCCTCTAAGAAGTAGGATGAAGGGTACATGTATTGTACTCACCCATTAGATCTTCCCCCTCAGAAGAGACTGTCAGTGTAGTAGGAAATGTAAATTGCCTAATACCTAAATGCTTTGATTACCTTTTAGCAGGAACTGTAGTTGGAGTCAACAAAGGGCCTCTCCCAGCTGCATGTTCTGAGTTGTTCTCTTGCCACTTGGTGGAAGTCCAGGCTACACTGCACTAATTAGGGGGAAAAAAACAGATGCACCATCAAGTTTTTACCATTATTCCTATGAACAGATTGACAGATCACTTACCACAGAGATCATAACACAGCAGCAGCACAATTAGGAGATTAATGTGTAACTGCTCCTTCATATCTCACTGTGGCCAAGCCAAGAGACACAGCAAACCAAGTCACCTCTGGCTGTAGTGCCAGTTTGCCCCAGGCAGATCCCAGGCAAGCAGTACTGCTCAGGAACAAATATACAATCTCACACATACATATACATAGGGATATAAGGTACAATTCTTCACTTCTTGTGTGCTGGGTAGACAGACAGTGAGATTACATGAAGCATAAAGCACAGTTTTTTTTGGTAAAAGGGACATATTTTTGCTTGCTTTGTATTGTATGAAATTTCTTTGAAGAGATAAGGTGTGATTTGCTGATTATAGGTCATTATTCAAAAGGAAAAATGGGGAAATCTTTACATTTTTATTGTTACAATACAACATATTGCTGATTAATGTTTATAGTAAATTTTGGGTAACATACAACAATATTTGGTATATTTTTATGGTACCTTTTAAATCAAATTACTCAGGCCATCTGTGAGGAATTTAAGCTGTTTGAGCCAAGAGTTAGAATAAAGTATAAAAGCACAAATTCAAAATTATTAGCAAGTCTAATCTACAGTTTCTTGGAAGTGTTAGTGGTCAGTGTTAGACATGTAACAAAGACAACATGCTTTTCTGTTGATCTTAAGATACAGTTTTTCTAAGAGCACCAAATGCTCTTATGGATTATTCCTGCTACACATACCATATGTCAAACATTTTTATTTTGTTTTTTTTAAAAAAATCAGGGTGATGTTGGCTTACCAGGAATCCCTGGAAATCCAGGACTGACTGGCCCAAAAGGATGCAAAGGTAATGAGTTTATACAGATAGGCTTTGAAAAGAGCAATATTGTTATGATGTGTGTGCAATAGATGGCAAGGACTCAGTAGAAAATATAATTTCACTTCTGTCCTGTTTTCCCTTAAAACATGAGTGTAATTAGAAACAAGTCTGACTTACCTGAAAGCAAAAACTGCATTTCAGTATTCCCTGTGACAGTTTTTTCCTTTAAAAGATGATCTTACTAATTTAGAAGATAAATTTGTGTCCAATTTCACAGAGTTTAAAAATTCCATAAAAAAACCATGTACAAATCCATTCTTATGGATATGGAAAATCAGTCAATATCCGTAAGAGAAAATGCAATCAAAGTGAACTGTTATAATTTGCATGTGCCAAAGCAATTTTCATTCTGTGTTCTCTCAGTCCCTTTTACAGCTGTTAATATCTATTAGTAAATTTTCTGATCTTACAAGATTGTCCAGCTTTGCTTTTGTGGATGAAAAGGATATTTGTATAAAATGGAAGTCGTTGTACCTCCACAGGTGAGAGAGGTGACCCAACTCCTCTGCTTGGTGCATGTGGTCGGAAAGGGGCTCCCGGAGATCCAGGATTACCAGGTACCTGTGTCTGACTGAGGAAAGAATCGGATTTAAGAGCTTGTTTTCTCTCAGTTTTGTTAGCAGAGAGGGAGCTCTGCTTCCTGTGCATACTGAGTGGTTCTGTAGTGAACCACAGGGACTAAAGAGACATCCCAGTGTGCAACAAGCGTGGCATGAGCATAGGACTTGGAGTCTGCTGCGGTCCAGTACTGGTGGACACAGCACTGATGGACACAGCAACACCTACTGGAATCAAACCTGGCCTGGCTCTCTCCTGCTGGCCATTTCTGCTCTGTCAGGTATCACCAGTGAGGTCTGTACAACTCACTGCTAATAGGCAGATGTAAAGATCTGAAATATTTGAATAAGAGTCTCTTTCTAGTCAAGAAACCCTTTACTGAATTTTATATTTTTTAACTTATCATGAGACAAAGAATGGGCAACTTTTAACAAATAAATTCTAGATTACTCTTTTTTTTTTTTTTAAGGACTCTGTGGATTCCCAGGGGAGAAGGGTTCACCAGGAATCCAAGGACAACCTGGAGGGCCAGGATCCAAGGGTGACCCTGGATATCCAGGAATACCTGGATTACCAGGTAACACCAAAATTTAAAAAGTAGTGTGATAGCACTGTTGAGGAGGCCCCTCTGTGAAGGAGTCTATAGAAATCAGAGATGTGAAGGGATGTATTGAAAGCTATTTCTGTGCCTATAGACAGCAGAAATTGTCTGCTCAGTCTCAGAGAACAAGATCCATCATTTCTTCATTCATCCCCAAACACTTTAAGGTACCACTGATTAACACAGTGTGTTGCATAGCATGGGGGAAAAAAAAAATCAACAATTTAATAGATTTGCATAATCACAGATTATTTTTTTTTTCGCTCTCAGGAGCTACAGGTCCTCAGGGATTACCAGGTGAACCTGGAGAAAGAGGGAAACATGGAATTTTGGGGCCTCCAGGATTGCAAGGGTTACCTGGATCCCAAGGCAGAAAAGGTAAACAGTTTACAGTGCCATTCTAGTGGTAATGTAACAGTATCAAACATAAATACCCTTTTAGGAGGGAAAATGAAAAAGGCCTAACTGTGACCACGATTTGGACTCTGTGATCTCTTAAAGTACCAGAAGAATTAAGCCAGTTCCCATCACCTTTGAAAAATAACATAAATGCTACCTCAGAAAACTGGGATACAATTTAAAAGGAGAAAGGTAGAAACAGTCTGGCTCAGCTGAGAACTCAAGAAAAAGGGGTTTGCAGTAATTCAGTTGTTTCACTTAAGTTATGCTGTGTTCTACATTTTCACCATGGAGTGCCACTGTTACTCTACAAACCCAGCAGACTGCTATGGACAGATTTGTCTTATAAACTTGTTTTAAGAAATTATGATAACTTAAATTGGTTTTTGTTGTTGGTTTTCTTGTTGCATTGTTTTCTCCCAAAAAAAATTTGAGGGATTTAATGTAGAAGTGTTTCCTCCAAATCCTAATTCACACTTGTCACAGTGATCATTGTGTTTAGATTGAACAGTAGTTCATTTATATGGTTGTTTTTGTTGGAGAACATGATTAACTTTTTCTATGCTCAGAATTGAAATTTTAAGTTACAGTAATAGTTCATGAATAAAGTTATCAACTGGTATCCGCTCTCTGTTATGCTGTGCTTCATAACCAGTTCCTGAACAGGAAAAATTAATTAGTGATCCATATACAGAAACCACAGTAAAGTAACACTTGGAGCTGTGATAAATGGTTAGAGAGAACAACAGATCCACTTTTTTAAATTCAGCCTAAGGAAAAATCAAGAAGGTTTCTTATAAACTACTGAAAATGTAAATGAAAAAAAATGGAAACCATTTATGATTGTCTGCAGTAAATAAGTGGTGCTGATTTAAACTGTCACGACAGATTCCCTGCTGGTGCATAATGTGCAAGAGGACATTTCAGTGTTGCAAACAATATTTGTTGTAACAAAGGCAAAGATCTGCAGTGGCAGGGATATCTGAATCGAGAAGGGTCAAAAAAACCGCAAAACATTCTTCTGCTGAAAACTTCTTCACAGCAGATGGACTCTTTACTTCCTGTCATAAGTGATAAGACACTTCTTCTCTATATTGAGCAGAAGTTATTCCAAGTCCTGCACAGGAACATAACAAATTAACACACGTGCTGCAGAGGGAAAAGTTCAGTTCCAAATAGTGGTTCATTAGACACCGAGTTGCCTGCTAAGCCTGAGGATTCTATATATTGCCAGCATAGTTGAGAAGAAGGGTAACAACTTTGAAAATATACCCAGTAATGAAAACAGAATGGTATTTGTATTCTAATTCAATTGGAGAATATAGATCTTAGAGCTGTTTTCAACAACTGCTGTTGCCAGCACTAAAAATGAAATTGGCTGTGCATAGCTAAGTACAGAGCCTTGACCGTCCCACTGGTTCTCATTTACATGAAAGGCCTTGTGCCTAAAGAGCTTGAGGATTTTTAAAAAATTAGTTAAACAGCATCTACCAAAACATAATCCCATTTTCTTTATTACAGTAGTTTTACTAGTTAAGGGCTTAGTCTGGCAAGCCTTACTTGTGTGAGTAATCTTTGATGAAGAAAGTAATATTAAGAACATCAGCAGAATGACTTGTAGAAGTAGAAGCTGAATTGGGCTGTACAATATAGAAACAGTAGTTCATGCACAGGTCAGCCAATTCAGCTGTACCTAGAAATATGGGACTATAGCAATCCAAAAATCTAGAATTACAAGTGCTGATATTATAATGGATTGTTGGCAAATGTGTCAGAAATTC